CGCTGAATGCGCACTTTCATCTGGTTTGGTCTGCCGGCTTCCGTAGCGTTGTGATCGCGCAGGTGTGCGCTTTCAGGAAATCCTATACACTACTGTTTATGCTCTAAAAACATTCTAAATGACTTCGTTTCGAGTAAATTCTGGATGCTACCCACTCAGGACACTTGGAATACATTGGACGAGCAGTATGGAGGAATATTGACACGTTTTTTGTGGACTTTTATGGACCTTTCTGTCTCGGGCGCCATAGACCTCCATTATTTGAATGTCAGCAGACAGCAAGAAGCCTCCCAGATCTCCAGATGCATTTGAGATATCAAAAAAGTACTCCAGAGTGTTGTTCAGCATGGGGGTGAGTAGAAAATGAAGGCTAATCATGTTTTGGGTGTACTATTCCTTTAACCGGAGCTGAGAACTGGAAGGTGGAAATACAAAGCATTGGTGGCTAAATAACGCATGTTTGAAAGACTCCCACTGCATGGGTGCAAATATTTCTGCTGCTCCTCTGAAATCCGTTAAGGTGGAGGGTTTTTTTTTCTTCTTGCAAGTGGTTCTATTTGCTGATTTAATATTTATCTACATAAACTGCAGAAAAATCTGATTATTTGAAGATAAATTTGTGAAGAAAATAATGCAGCATGATTAACTTCTCTGCCCCTCTGCAGTTTGATCTATTGACTTTAGGATAAACAAACAGGCTAGAAATTATACCATATAACATAATATATAAGTATACATATATATTTAATAAAAGATAATATTTTTTTTTTTTTATAACTTGACTTCTAATTGACCATAATAACGAGGCTTATTGGTGAGGGGTGTAAATCTGGGGGGGGAAAGGGCTTTATTTATTTCTGGTCTGTTTTACGCTGGAAAGTGAATGCAGTATACAGCAGACCTTTTTTTTGCAACAGGAGAATTGATGTTTTACTCAAATACGTTTTGATTTGAAAAGCTGTTAACCTCTAAAGAGATTTACAATGCACCAAAATTTGAGTGTGAATGAGGTAGCACTTAGAAAGGAGTCAGCTTTCATTATTCTCTTCATTCAAGAGTCCTTCATACACCACATTTTCAGAGATTGAAATGAATTTCTTTATAAATGTAACAACAGGCATCCGCAGTGTAAAGTCACCAAGTGCTGCAGCTCCATTAAGTAGAACTGATGCTCTATCTGGTTCTCTACACGTTATGTTAGCAGCTTTGATGTGTCGTATACACACCTTTCTGTGTACTTTCTGTTTACGGCGTCACTGGGTTTTCCCGTTCCAGCTCAGCACACAGACATAAAGTAGGGAGGATACTGTTTATTTAGGATATGCCATAAAAAACTTGCTTTAAATGTAATATTCTTAACACTAATATTTACCCTAGGTTGGGTTTGTAGCCCTTGTTTAAACTGACTTTGTTTTTATTGCCTTTTGAATATTCTAACTGTTAAAATAAACTGAAACTATTTGTGTTTTTACTATTTGATCTCACCTCAATGAAACTACTGTAAGTGAGTTGATAAATGGAGATTAGCCAGATATTCCTATATCTTATTTTACAATGTTTAGATGGGGAGGGTGAAATTTTACTTATTTTATTCTGTCTTATTATATTATATTTTATTTTGCTCTATTGTACTTACAGTCTTATTTTTTCTCTCTTCTGTAATCCGTTGCACTGCAAGAAAATAGTGTCCCACAAGAGATTAAAAAATTAATTTATAATTCTGATTTTATAGGTCTTATATCATGCTTTTTTTTAGGCCTTACAAAGTTACAAATACAAATAAATAATTGAATAATGCCTTCGGCATTATGTGTGAATTTGTTATGAAATACAGCTGTTTTCTTTCAACCTTGAAGAAAAGCGATCCATCACTCCTTGCCACCTCTCTTTGCTGATTTTATGGTACCATAGTGTCACACCACTTCTGTAGGCGGAACCAGGTCCAAGATATCTGAGGTCAAAAAAATAAATATAACAAGTTTAACATTAGATAGCTGCTAGAAGAGCTGCTTTGTCTCAACTATAAGCTGAAACATCGTTCTCTGCCTTGCATAGTACCTCCTTGATTGAAGAGAGGGGCTGGTTGTTTACTGCAGGTGCAGCGCGGTTAAATTGGGTGATTCCTGGAGGGCGTCTTCTTATGAAGATATTCTCCCAACGTTCCTTTTCACAGCACAAGGAGGAATTAATTAGAGGTGCATCAATTCAGCAAATAACACTCTGTGCCTGATTTTGATGGCACAATAACAGTGTTCTAAGATTAAAAACGTTGATTTTGCTCTATATAGGCCCTTTAAGTTTTGATGATTTTTTCTGACTTTCAAATCATGCCATCAGACAACATCACTGTTATAACATGGATTCATTTAAATCTTTATATCTCGATGATCTATGGCAGACGTTTCACCTCTGGCTAATCTGCTAGAAGTTGCTGTTTTTCCTTGATTTAAATATGTCTCTCTATTTCAGACAGACACTTATTTGATTAAGCAAATCCTCCCCATTGATGATGTATGCTGTTCTAGTGAAAGATGAATAAGACCTTAGCCTCATTTGTTTTCTGAACTGTAAACCACGGTGTTTCTTTCTAAAATGAAAACTTTTCGATTAACTTTACCTTAACTGCAGTAATAAATCGGCCATCTTTCAGCCCCAGAATGAATAAAGTTCTCTTTTCCTTAGCCTCATGTTTTTTTTGTTTTTTTTTCCAGTCACCTAAAACTTATTTTATTTTTGATGGAACTGTGCGGCCTGTTTGCTGGCTGTCACTCTTCCACGGTGAGCAGCTGTCTCAGATAATGATCCTGCCTCTGCAAAGTTTGCAGAATGTTATTAGAGCAGGTTTAACATTCTTTGGGAATCTTGACCATAACACATATTAGACTCATACTTTTGCAAACAAACAGCGTCACACAGGCTAAGGCATTCTATGGATAGCTCCTGGAATTAGTTGAGGAAAACGCTGAGCAAGGCTCATTTTGTGAAGCAATATCTCAAGCTTTTAACGTCTCATAAAGGATTATTAAGAGGGCCACCCATCTCCATGGTAACAATGGAGAATGCTGCAGCGGCTGGACAGTTTACTGACAGGACATTTATTTTTTTTTCTTTTTGAGTTTTTACAGCAATAGTTGCTCTTTTTTTGGACAGTAGGTGAACAGGAAAGGGGCTATGAGAGAGGGGGAGAGACATCAACAAAGTACCACAGGTCGGATTCGATTCCAGGTCGGCCGCGTCGAGGACTAAGGCCTCCATACATGGGTCGTGTGCGCTAACCACTTCGCACCAAAGCACCCCAACAGGACATATTTTATACGTACACTCTGCATTGTTGTGCCAAAGCTATAGGAAGGATAATCAGAGTTTTGTAAAAGCCATGTATTGGACACAGTCGACATGTGGAAGAAGGTGGTCTGGTCATATGAGACCAAAATTACACATTGTATAGTTATTATTTCTAATTATAATAGAACAATTTTTTCAATCAATCAATTAATAATTGGATAGCCAAGGTTTCCTTAAAGAACACTTTTTACTAATTAAACCAAGTGAATCTAAAACTATTCCACTTGAGGAGTTCTGGATAGAGCATATTGACAGAAGAAAACATTTTTTTATGTTAAATGCAAAATGTTTATATATAATAACATAATTACTGTTCTAAGTGGTTTGTTTTGTCAGCTAAAGACCTTTTTTACAGTCTCTATACTTAATTTAGCTATTAATTGATTACTAAATTAGTTAACAGATATTTCAATAATCAATTAATCATGATTAATCCGATAAATTGTTTCAGCCCTAATTAGCACTGCATATCATCCTGAACATACCAACCCTAGGCTGAAATATGGTGGTGACACAATAATGCTATGGGAATTTTGTTTCCTCTTTTTCTCATCTTTCAATACTAATGCATTGATTTTAGATTGGATCTTTGTTTTTGTTGTTTTAAAACTATCGCCTCTTTTCTCCTTCCACCTCAAAATACTTTGCTATTAAATAAAAAAACAAAACAAAAAAGGAATCCCCCATTAATATACATACAACTTTGTGGCTGTGATGATCCAAAGTGTGGGAGAAGCTCAAAGGATTTGTTAGGTTTTGTCCTAGATACCAACATGCTGTTTCTTTTTTATGAGATGCCAATGCACACTCTGACCAATAAACTCAAATGCTTTTTCTCACCTCGTCTGATAGAATATTTATGTGAAAGGCCTGCAGCACTTTATTGAAGGCAGATTATGAATGAAAAGCTTTGAAGGCATCGATGACTATATGCCAAGATAGACCATTTAAAAGGCCAATCAAAGAACTGGACGGGATCGTTACCGCTGTATTTTAGAGTTTAGAATAGAAAACAAGTGAACATTTTTTTCCGTTTGACTTTAATAGATGAGATAAGTGTTTTTATGTTTGTTGGTCACATGCTTCTCATTGCATCAGTTCTGAAAAACCCTTCCCTATAGAAATCTTAAAAAGATAGAACATGTTTATAAAAGATTCATGTTTGACGTGTGAGCAGAATTGAAATGTCTTCTTTTGGTCTGTCTGAACTCAAACCATCAGCTGCAGATATTACACCTGCTGATGATAAGGAGGAAGGAGGAAAATATCTCAATAGTAATTTATTACAAGGCTGTTACTGATTGATTGACTCCCACTTCAAGTCAGTTTGCAATCCCCCACAGAGTGACTCGTTCGATGCAGTTTGATAAATCTGACTGCAGTCTTTTTGTCAGTAAAATAAATGACTGTCAAAACAGGAACTGCTGCCAAATGCTTTGAGGCTTCTGTTACAATGAGGATATCTAAAATATTGTACTTTTTTTAACTGACACAAGTCCTTGGTCAAGAAAAAGATATATCTCTTAATCGATTTGCTTTGATGAATCACACTGTGGATGTTTTGCATGAGGGAAGGATGTTTGACCCAATTGTTCAATTATGACTAAATAGTAACCTTCTTAACTGTATTATTTTTGCCTCTTCTTTCCCTGTAGGATCCCAGAACAAAGCATAAGTTCAAGATCCACACCTATGGGAGCCCCACCTTCTGTGATCACTGCGGCTCCCTGCTTTATGGTCTCATCCACCAGGGCATGAAGTGTGACTGTGAGTAAAGAGATTATAAACTGCAAACATGTCTGTGTTTCAGCGTAAGACAAGGCAATCCATTTATATATAGTAGCACACTTGGACAGATGATTCAAAGTGCTGTACATGTAAAAAGAAAAATGATTGGAAAATACACAGAGAAAAACACATTGCAGTGGCATAAAGGTAATGAAGTGATTAATAAACATGAATAATAAAGAGAATACAAATAAATTAAGTGGTAAAATTGTTATAAAAATTAAAATGAACTAATAAACAACCAAACAATAAAATAACAGTGGGACAACAAACTTCACCCTTTATAGGGCAAGTTACCATTTCTGATCCCTTGCATACCCTTTACAAATGGAGTCCCCCCATCCCTCAGTGAGGTCTAGAAGCACAAGATCTATATCCAGCCATTCAGCAAAGACACTGCTACATGGCTGTACATCTTATTTTGGCATTTGACCAATTAGATTAACACTTGAATTATATATTTCCTACTGGAAAAAAAAGTCCACAAGTCAAAAAATGTTTTAACAAGCTAATTGAAAATTTAAAAAGTTAATAGGCCTGGTTAAAAATTATATTTAGGTTTATAAATAAAAAATGTGAGTGCCAGTGTCAGCATTGATGACTCTAAGTTTATGATGTACAAAAAAAGTGTTTCTTTCACTCTCAGGGTGTTTTTCATGAATTTCCTATAGAAACACTTTTGTTATTTCTCTTAATATATTCGGGCAAGTTGGCTTGTCTTGTTATTATAGTGACATTCATTTTTACCATCAAAGTTTTTGTATTTTTTTAATGTTGTAAAGGTAATAAGGTCTTGTCCTGAATTCCAATGACACTATTGGCTTGAAATTTTGATTTTCAAAGTATTTTACTTTGTGCCCTTTAAAAGGTTAACTAATCATTTTAAGACAGCATAGTCAAAGGCCACTCTGTAAAATTAGTCTTTCTTATCTTAATTTTATTAATCTGGAGTTTTTTCCAGATTAATGTTACCTGCAAGTTGAATTCTCGCACTATTTTATGAGTTCACAAACATACCTGAATCTATTATGAGTCGCTCCAGCTTAAATAGTTTGAGTCTGACCTAAAACAGGTTAGCCAATCACACCACAGTATTATGTATTCTGGTGGGACATATAGTAGAATGATGAAAGTAAGCATTCATTATAATCATGAATCAGAATCTTCAATTTCCTTTTTAAAAGAGGAACAACAAGAGCTTTATTAAGTGGTTTCTCATGGCGTATGCTTCTGTTTCATTTCAGGATTGGCTAAAACCAAACTATGATAGGCGGGTGCTATAGGTGCAGCTTCGCCCAATCAGCTCTAAAGGTTGGGCTAAATATCCCTCCTTCACCCAAACAGATTTGATGTGAAAAAAGTCTTAGATTATTAATATGTAGAACTAAAACTAAATGCAAAACATGATCAATCAGGTTCTGGTTCTCGATATGCAGAGTAGATTAAAGTTAAAGGAGCTGAGAGGCCTGGGTGGATCGTCCACTGACAAGTTCATTATGTATTTTGAAGCTAAGCCATTTAGTGATTAATTAGTGATTTGAAGTATTATAAATTCTGTTATCTGAGATATGAGGAACCATTAGAAGGACTGATGTGTTCTACTTTCTTAGTTTTATTAAGAACGCAGACTGCAGTATTCCTGAACAGCAGCTTTCTGATCCACTTTTTAGGCATCTTTAAAGAGGTTGCAGTAATCAGTTCTAGTAAAGATAAATACATGAATCAGATTAAAGGTATATTTTTCATATAAAAGTTTTAGATTTTTTATTGTATTTTTAGCTTTCTTGGTGTTTTACAGAAATTTGTGTTTAATACACCCTCAAATGAGGATCAGGCTGATGTATGGTTTTGTTGGGGAGGTTGATCATGTTTTAACTATAACTTTAATAACTATATTTGGTATCACACTAATAATTAGGAAATTGAATTTACATTTTCTTTGTTTTTTTTCATGCCATTGCAGAGCAAGTAGCTGTCTTCCTAATGTTAAATAACAATCCTTTCCTGAAATGTATATTTCTCCATCACAGATGATCTGGTGATAGGAAGAATGATTTGTTTTTATTGCCTTAACACCATTTTATACATACCTAAATATAATTTAAGAGAAATTTTAATAATATATTATTTAAGTGACTTCTGAAGACTAAATAAACAACTAAGCCTAAAGTTCCTTCTCTTCAAATAAGTTAATTGACTTTCTACAAAGAAATTTGTTCTGGAGATATTTGTTGAAGATCACAGTTTTTCTGTCTTTATTAATATCTATCTAAACTTCTTCCCTCCAAGCTTGTGTTATTAAGCTGGTCGTACCAATCTCCTAAATCTGTTAAGCCTTATCTAACATAGATCTACAGCTCTGATTAATCAACAACTGAACAGAAGCAGTGAGGTCAAGTTACAATTAAGGGTTAAACAGTCTGATCAAAAGAGCCCAATCCAATGAGATAAAACCATGGTCAACTGGCTGAATCACAACTATCCCCACAGATTCAACTGTGCACTTGTGAAGTAACATTATTACAGTAGTTGTGCAAAGTGTTGCCTAGATAGTAAACCTTAGTGAAACTAAAGGTCGTTTGTTGTTCACAGAAGTCTCCTTAGCTTATCTGCCTTTGATTTTTTTTTTCCAATAGAAGTAATGACTCCTGTATTCCTGCTTTTATAACCCAATCAATTTTCACACAGATTTGTCTGGTTTAGTAGAAAATTTAATAGAGGAATTGGAAAAAAAAAAAAAAAAAAAAAGAATCTACCTACCTGGCGAAAAACTGACCGAAAGAAAAAACTCAGTTTTCCAGGACAGTTGTGTCGTAATGATCGGCAGAAACTAATGTACTAATGTATTAACTTTATCAAGTAGGTGATGATAGTAGGAGGGTTTGTGTGTTTGTGTACTGGATAACTTGAAAAGTTATGGACAGATTTTAAAGAATTTTTTTTCTATCAGAGGTGTCCTTCGTGCCAAGGAACAATTCATATCATTTTGGTGATGATCCCAGTGACTATTGACAGCCTCACCATTATAATTAAAAGGTCTGGAGGTATTTTATTGAAGACACAAACACAAGAGAAAGGAATGTTGTTGGTTTTATTAGCAGGATAAATAAAAAATATATGAATTTATTTTATGTAAATTTTTGACCAGAGGTCTGCCTCATGCCAAGAAATAATTAATCTAGATCTGGTAATGATCCAGATCATGTCACAATTGGGGGCAAAAAATTGTGGAGGTTTGCACTCTGGGTGCATTTCTAGTTTAATCAGGTGTTTCTCTTTTTTCATGCATTTTGAACAGTTCAGAGAAAAAAAAAAAAAGAGATAGTTCCTGACTTTGAGTGCCACTGGTTTAATTTTAAACTGCAGGCCAGAAATCTAAATGAACATTTTATTTTCTCTATTTTCATAATAAAGTAACAATAATATTTATCTTGGTCCTCTTCTTTCAGCTTTTCGCTCTCAGGGGTCGCCACAGCTAGTCATCTGTCTCCATCTAACCCTGTCATATAGATCTATGTCACACAGACATCTTTGCTCTTCTTTAAAGCCTAAAAATCCTCCTAAAAGCGTTAAAATTTTCACCAGTAGCATCGTTCTAACAAATCAGGATATGAACATTTGCTACAGAGCATCAAAAATAGTAATTTCCCTCTGGGATTATTAAAGTATTTCTGAGTCTGATTCTGAAATGTTTTTCATTTAGATCTCTTTTCCTTCCTGTTTGTAGGTGTAATATTAGTTTAAGCAGGTTTATTTGTCATTTATATAGCCCTACAATTATATTATGTCAGTAGATCAAATATTTTACTTCAGTATTTTCAAAAAAACAGAAAGACAAGGGGGAAAAAAGTCATGCTAGAGAAATGAGTGGATTTTTTTCCCCCCCATTGTTTTTCACCTAGTGACCCGGTGACACAATGATGTAATTGCTCTAAATCCCTGACCGAGGCGGAGGGGGTGTAGGCTAGGCTGGCTGACAGACAGGATATGTAGATGCACCATCACGGCGATGAATTTGGGTCGTACCCTTGTCATCTCCTCTCACACAGCTTCTCCAAAAACAATCCTTTTGTTTTATCATCCCACCGAGCATAACATGAGATTAAAATATGTCTGCAGAATGAGATGTAGAAAAGGGAACAGTGAATTACTTTTTTTATTTTTTAAAGCAGCTTACTGCAATAAAACATACAACAATTTAAGAGTTACATACTTTTGCAGATTGCTTTTAACTTTCTCTTTCCCAATACAAATATTTTGAACCAATTCAAGTTTATTGCTTACTGTTGATTTGTATTAGATCATAGCAATGTTGATAAATATATTATTTCTAAAGGTTGACTGAATTATTATTATTTTTTGCAGTCAGATGTCTAGGTTGTAAAAAATGTTTCCTGACATCCTTGTCTCCTCTGTGTCCCTGCAGCCTGTGATATGAACGTTCATAACCAGTGTGTTATGAGTGTTCCCAGCCTGTGTGGAACCGATCACACTGAGAGAAGAGGGCGTCTTTTCCTCAAATGTGAGGTCAGCGTGGATAAACTGGAGGTCACAGGTAGGAAACATAATCCCACCCCCCCTTAAGCACTTAGTGAATTGAATGCGCTTAACTAGTGAATATGATGCATTTGAATGGATTTGAAATAAGCTTGTTGCTTGTCCATGTGTGCGACCTGAAGTATGGAGTCACATGCTTCTGGAATCTTTTTTTTTTTTTTTATTTGTAAGAAACTGATTTAGACAGTTTTTGTCTCAGGTTTCTGATTGTTTCACCTCATGGAAACAGTAAGAATCGATCCTATGCCTTCATTTACCTGAATTGCAGTTTTCATTAACTCTGCCTTAACTCCTTCTCATGGTTTGGAGTTACTCTTAAGGCCATTGAGAGTTTTGACTTCAAGTAATCAGTATGCCTCGTGGTGCTCAAATCATTTAACTTTTCATTAACTTTTCAATCATTTAACCTCACCATTTGTTCCCACCAATCGGTTCGTTTGTTCTGCACAGCTAATGTTTAACACAGAAATAAATGGATGAGCTATTAGTGTGTAAATAAATGTTGGAATTTATTGTGGTAACCAATAACAGAAATACCAATCCTAGTGCATGTAAAAAACATTTTAAACCAACCAAACAAAGTTATTTTACCTTTAGCATTTCATAAATTCTATTTTTTTTTTACTAAGAAAGCAAAACAAACAAACAAAAAAAAACAAACAACTTTGGTTAAGTGTGTATGCACTTACACTAATACTGTAATGGCTTTATTTGATCTTGCAACTATTAGGGCAAATATGAGGTGAAGATTAGATCAGTTTGTTTACAAAGGATTTTACTGACGCTCATTGGATCCTTAAGCTAAAACCTTTGCAAAGAGGTTACCAGAAGATTTAACTAATGCTGTTGTACAAATGTGTCAGTCTGGAAAATGGGACAAGGCTAGTTTTGGTTATTTTCAAAATTGTAATTTTGTAATTCTAATGAACCAATGTATGTAAGCATTCAGTCTCACAGCCCTGCTGATTAAATTGTCTTATGTGCTTTTTTTTTAATGCCGATCTTATATAATTTTATACCCTTTCCTATACACTTTGATATTTGCAATCTTGATGACATGACACACTATGCGATGCAAAGTTGACATAAGGTTTGATTTGTGCATGATCACCGCTGCACAGGACGTACGACAATAAACAATTTCATCACTTATCCCATTGATCTTTAGCTTAAAAGATACTGAAAATTAGGCGACCAACTTGGGAGAATTAAAGTAAAGGTATTTTGCAACAATTTACCTTTTTAAGCAATATTACAAATACATCAGCATACTGGATCATGAGCTCAAGTTGGCTGTTTTAACATAAACATGCAAAATGGGCTGTTAAATCAACTATTTTAGTCCAAAATCCTGACAAAGCAAACTAAAAATTTACTCAGTTTGATAACAAATAGTTACAATTAAATCAAGGAGTTGTATTTGGATGAATAACTTCAATTGTTCAATGTCTTTTCACAAAAAAAAGATTTGCTAAATGTCCATATGAACCAAAGTCCAACTGCCACATAAAAAAATAATAATAATCTAACAGGAAGAAATATATGTTGAGGCCCAAATTATTAATCGGTCTTGCTATCTTGGTAAAGGTTATAGTAAGAGGACATTAATAATAATTATCACTGGTTTGCCTGGTGTGCATTTCTAAATGAACACTGCTGATAATGAGAATGTACCTGTTCTAAGGGCTTGCTGATGCCCCTTAGTGCTGATCTGGCAACTTTTTTGGTGCAGACAGGGCAGGTTATCTCTGTCAGGATCCAAAACCGATTAAATTTTTTGTGTGTTCAGCACCGTTCAGATCCCGTGGAGATCCCCTTCAGCCAAAATTCTGTCCCTTATTCAGTGGCTGAATATATAAGTCATCTTATACGTCCTTGTATTTACTCCAAAAAAGTTAAAAAACAATTTTGAAGACGTTTCGCTTCCTATCCAGGAAGCTTTTTCAATTCAAAATGTCAGAAATAGCGTTGAGTTTGCGGCTTTATAGAATGGACCAAAAACAAAGCCTTGTTTTGGTTTGGAAAACATGCAAATTGAACCAGACGAACGCGTGTGCCCCTTAGGAATGGGGTCGTTTGGATTATTTTATTAGCCTGCAATGCCCAATACCTGTCTATGTCTCTAAAGGGGGGGGGGGGATTAGAGGGAATTGTTGGCCTGGCTAAACAGGTGAGGTGTTTTGTTCCCCTCTGCTCCCCTGTCCCTGTATTTACATTAGACTAAATAATACTAATAGTACAGAGGGCTGTAAGGAGGGACAGTTGGTAGCACTATATCTTGGCAACAATTAGGTCTGGGGTTTAATTCCTCTTTCTGCTCAGAATTTGCATTTTATTTCCAGGTAATCTGGCTTTTTCTTGTTGGTTACTCTAAATTGTCCTTATGTTTCAATGTAAGCGTGTTTGCCTGGTTGTGTGTATCTGTCTTGCCCTGCAATTTAATGGGGAACTGTCCAGAGTATACTAACGTTTCACCCATAGACTGCAGGACAGAGATGAAATAATGAATAGAAAGACTTCAAGACAGCTAATGTGACAACTTGACATTTATCAGGCTTCTCATTTATTAGGAGTTTTGTGGTTAATGCTATTATTTATCAAATGATATGTGACATACACGTTTTTGTCACATTCCTCTCTCCCATGGATCATACATAATTCTGGAAATATATCCCCTGGCATTCATCTTCCTTAATGGATCTTTATGTGGCACATCTCCAGCAGCAGCTGCATTCCTGATGGTTAATCAGTAGATGTAGGCTGTAGCAGCTGTCACACTGTGAGATCTTGATTTTAAATACCAGACACTGTCAGGTAATCATTGAAGGCTACCTTCAGTACCAGGATGCTAAAAGCAGATTTCCTAGAACCTCATTTTGAGCAACAACCAAATATTGGAGTATTTTACATTTTATAGATCTGGCACATATAAAAAAACTAATTTATTGATTAAACATGGAGGTTTTATATGTTAATTTGATACCTCCTTAGTAAATTAGACCATTCAAACCCAGGTTATATGGAGTTGAGCTAAACATGACAAGATATACAGTATCTGTTATGCTAATATTAGTTTTAATGCCGAGGGCCCAAAAATAGTCTCGCTTTATACTAATTTTATGAATGCTTACATTTTACAGTAAATCTTTGCTCATCTTTATCACCTAGACTTGAGTTTTTATAATTTGCATCTCTAGTTTTGAGGCACAACTTTAAAAACTCACATGCATGTCCTAAATTAGAGTATCATAGAGACCTAGCCCTCTGGTGTTAGAATTAGTATTTTTTTTTTATCTTATTTTAAATTACAGGCAGATAACAGTGTATTTAATAGTATAGAATGAACAGTTTTTTCACATGGTATTATTATGCTGAAAAATATCGTTCAAAGGGGTCATAGAATGCAAAACCGAGTTTCCATTGTCATAGATGAATAACAATAGTTCAGTGGGTATAATGGACGTACAGAGAAGTTCAAACCCCATCAACACCTCTTTTCTCTGCATATCTCACTATTCTAAGCTTTCACCATAAAACAGGCTAATCCAAACGAAGCCCCAAGTTGACATGAATTCGGGGATGTTGCCTTATTTGGTTCTGGCCTGTACTTTTGTCCCACCCCAAAATTTACATACAAACTAGCCCACTGGTTCACTGGCCCAACATGAATAGAGGTAGATGTAAGACTATTAGTTTATCTGTTTAGCCTACAGTTGGGTTTACTTCTACAAGAATTACAAAGCAGGCAGTTTCTCTATTGAAAATGAGCCAGAACTACGGGCGAATGCAGTGTTCCAGGTTGCACGGAGAAAGGGGAACATTTTTCACAGTCTTCCCAAGGATCTCGACAGGCATGGATTATTTTTGTCTATCAGAAGATCTCTGGAAAGTTTGATGCTCAGCTGTTCATTTGCTCTAAGCATTTTACCGAAGACAGCTTTTACATTTTGGACAGTTCAAAGCAGGATTTGCTAAACTTCTTTTACTGAAACGAGGGGCTGTTCCGACCGTAAGGCCATCACAACTGCAAGCTGGAAGTTTGATTCTGTCACTAAGCTGTTGATAGCAATGCTAGCATATCTATGGCGCTGACTGGACCGGACCGGGCCCCAGCACAGGACAGAGCAAATGAACCCGACCCGGTGACGGTATGCTTCAGGGCCGCCGTTGTCCAGGCTACCGTCAGCGGGTTAGGTTCGGTCGCTCCGGCCCCCGCTGGCTCCCTGTTTCGACTATATGCTGCACTGTAGTCGACCAAAATCCTGGACGATATTGAAATTCCCCCCGGACATTTTTTTCAGGTATAAAAATTAGGACATTTCCGGTAAAAAATATCAACAATTTGAGTTTTCAGTCAGTGAGTGCTTGTTGCTATGATGCTTTGCTCGTTATAAACCAACCAATCAGCGCACAGCTCATCTAAATATTCATGATTATACCATAAAAGGAAGAAAACCTGTTGTTTCATTCCAGGGCTTTTAACCAGGCTTGCATTAGGGCTCATAGAACAGCAAATATGCCATTTTCAGCCCAACCAATGTTACACACCCTATTCAGAGACCTTAAGGACCAGCACCAAATACCCTATAGAATCATTCTATGACCCCTATAAAGCTTTGTAGACTTTCCATTTTACATCAAACATGCAAATCCTGCCTCAGATCAAGCAAAACCTGTCGTGTTACCTTTTCCTGGTCACATATTTGCCTTCCAAAGCCAGATAATGTGTTGATGCCTTCTGTAAAGGTGGCCTGAAACTATTTAGACATGAAGAATGCATAGATTACCTTATTTCCAGATCATTATCCATTTTGCTCACACATCCACAGGACCCCGACAAACCTTTACAGAAACCACATGACTCTTTATTGTGGGTGTAACATGCCCTGAATCATCAGAGCTGCTCTAAAACATTAGCATGCTAATACAGCCAACTTGGTTTTAGACGTAGTAGTAGTTAAACAATATAAGTAGGTGTATAAACATGGTTGGAATATT